TGTGGCGAGGGTGTGGCGAGGGTGTGGCGAGGGTGTGTCGCCTCGCTGAAGCGCTTCGCGACGCCCTTCCTGCCGTTGAGCTCGGGCCGCGAGACGACGCCGTCGATGGAGACCCGGTGCCCCGCACGCAGCTCGGTGACGCCAAAATCCCGGCCGCCCGTCATCACCACCGACAGCCGTGGCGACCACTCTTGCTCCCACTCGACGGAGCGCGCGTCGACGCCGGTGCAGAGGAGGCGTCCCGCAGAGGTGAAGACGAGCGCCTGCCGGTGCGACACCTTGAGGCAGCGGCCAAGCGAGACCTTGCCGGTGTACTCGTCGCGCCGCACGACCGCCGCCATCATCACCAGCTCGTGCGGCTTGAGCACGTGACGAAACTGGCGCCGGCTCGCCATCACCGCCCGGAAGCGAAACTGGCGCTGGCTCGCCTGCCCGCGCTGGGCCAGCAGCATCGCCGAGCGCCACAGCTTGCGGGCTGAGCGGCCTCGGGCTAGCCTCTGGATGCAGAGCGCCGCCAGCTGCCGGTCGCGCGCCTCGCGCCGCTGCTTGGTTTCCCTCCCGGCCATGCGCCCGCGGGCTAGCCTCTGCACGAAGAGCGCCGCCAGCTGCCGATCGCGCGCACCACGGCGTCGGTCGGCTTCTCCCGCGGCCATGCGCCTCCGGGCCGCCGCCTGCACCGCCCGGGAGGCTGCCGCGCGCTGGTCGAGCAGCGCCTGTCTCTGGCCCAGCGCGGCCCTGCGCCGCGCGTACCGCTGGACGGACACCGCGGCAACGGCTCGCAGCTCCTCGCGCCGCGCCTCCGCCCGGGCCGCGCGCTGCGAGCCTGCGCGTTTGCGGCGAATCATGGCCTGGATGGCGGTGGCGCGGCCAGTGCGCAGACTCGCAGCCTCGGCGCGCAGCAGCTCGAGCGCGCCGTCACGCAGGAAGGCCTTTGTGTGCCCGAGGCGCCACATCGCCGCCGGGAGCCGCTCGAGGACCGCCTCCGCCCGCTCCCGTGGCGGGAGAGGCGCGGCGTGCGGCGCGAGCAGCGCACAGTCAGCCCAGACCTCGGCGAAGTCGGTGCGGACGGGGAAGCCCTCGCGCCGGATGCGGACCGTCTCCAGCACGCCGAGCGAGCGCAGCTGCGCGAGCACGAGGGCGGAGTCGAAGTCGGCGGCGGCCTGGGCGCTGTTCGGCTTGAGACAGCGCACAAAGTGCGGCGTGCCGCTCTGGAGCGTCTCGAGCAGCGCGTTGGCCTGGCTCCGGAAGGTGGAGGAGATGCCAAAGCTGCCGCGGATCTTGGCGGTGGTCGCGGACGCCGCGTTGGAGTTGGAGCGCGCACGGAACCAGCGCGGCGTCGCCGGGGCGGGCATCGTCGTGTCGAGCACAACCCGCGCGTAGCCGGCGAGCCGCGGCAGCAGGCTGTGGAGGTCGCCGTGCAGCGCCTCGACATTCTTCTCGACGAAGCGGCGCGAGTCGTAAGAGATGCCGCCTGCAAAGTGCCGCACAACAAAGACCCGCTCGCCGTCCTCCTTGGCCGAGAGCCGCTTTGGCTTGCCGACGTGGCGCGACTGCCCGTGGTGGCGGAAGACCTCGAGCGCAAAGTTGTCGGATGAGCCGCGCTCGCCGAGCAGGCCCTGCTCCTCGAGGAGGGGGAGCAGGCCGCACGGCGCCGCAGACAGCAGGGCGAGGACGGCGTCGTTGGACGTGTAGGAGACGGCGGCGGCGTCGATGCCCTCCGCCTTGTAGAGGGCTGCCTCGCGCTCGAAGACGTGCGCGTTGAAGAGGCGCTGCAGCAGCTCGTTGGCCTACGTCATGCATGCAGCTGAGTACAAGACAGTTGTCATGCATGCAGCGGAATACAAGACAGTTGTCTGCTACACGTTCCGCATCTAGGCTCGTCGTTACATAGTTGATGAGCAGCTGCTCGAGCGAGTTGGAGCCGACGTCCTCGAAGCCGTAGATGTCGAGCAGCATGAGGGAGCGCGCCTCCTCACCGCCTTTGGCGGGCGGGTCGAGGTGCGCGTTGAGCCGCGCCACGAGGAAATCGAACACGTGCTGGTAGAGGTGGCGCGTCAGCGCGTCGCGCGCCTCGGCCGCTTCCCACGCAGCGAGCGGGATCGAGTGAATCGAGCCGCGCCCGGCCGCCGCCCTGTGCGTGCGCTGGGTGAGGGCTGTCTCCAGCAGGCCCGCCTCGATGCCGAGCGCCGCCGCCGCCCGCTCGAGCGGCGCCGACTCGTCGACCACCGAACCGCCCTGGTCACCGCCCTGGTCGGCAGCGGCGAAGCGCACGTTGCCGAGCTCGAGCAGGCCGAGGAGCGTGCTCCACACGCCGGCGATGTCATCGGCGGAGAAGCCGAGCGCCGACAGCGCCGCCTCCACCGCGGCCAACTTCGAGGCGTCAGCGTTGTTGGCGGCCGAGGCGGCCGAGGCGCCGCCCTCCTCTGCGGAGGCCTCTGTTGCGGCATTCAGCATCGTGAATGAGGCGGGGTCCAGCCCCTTCGCCTCGAGGAGCCAGTAGAAGATGTGGAAGGAGCGTTCGCCCGGGGCGTGCGTCGCGACGCGCGAGCGCTCGAGCAGCAGCGTCTTGATGCGGCAGCCGGCGACGACGCCGCTCGCGCCGCTGCGCGCCACACGGAGGCAAGTGAGCTTGCCGAAGCGGCTCGAGTTGTCGTTGCGCACAGTGCGCGCGTTGCCAAACGCCTCGAGCACGCAAGCCGTGTCGAGCACGGCCGCCTCAAGCCTCGCCACCTCCTCCTCGCGCTTGGCGCCAGTGCCCGCACCCGGCGCGGTGCTTGCAGCGGCGTTTGCCGCCACTCTGCACTCTGCACTGCAGCGGCTCACGTACCGCAGCACCTGACGACACGCTTCCGTCTTGCCGGCTCCGGACTCACCGTTCACGATGATTGCCACGTCCGCGCCGGCAGAGGTGGCGCTTCGCCAGGCTCGCTCTGCCACAGCAAAGATGTGCGGGGCAGGAGAGGATGGGTTTGCGGCAGCGGCCACGGCGGAGGTCCATCCGGGGAGGGCGTGCAGGCGAGGGATGTTCTCGAATGGGTTGACGGACAGGAGCACCTCGCCAGCCCACGTGTAGATGGCGCCCCTGCCGAAGCGGCGGCGCAGCAGCTCCAGGAGCGGCGCCTCGTGGAGATCGCTCATGAACGTTGGGTCATCCCAGTCGTCGTCGTGGGACGGGTTGTGCCGCGCTGTCTTGGCAAGCCCGACGCTCATCGTCTGACCGCATGCGAGACGGACGGTGGCCGTCTCGTCTCTCGTTTCCAAATGGTCGGCGAGAACCCACGCCTCCCGCCCGCTTTCGTGCACCCACAGCCTTGAGACAGGAGATGTGACTGACGAGCGACTCGAGGCGGGCGTCGATTCGAATGACGAGCGACGCCAGGGGAGGGCTCGCATGAACAAAGTGGAGCGGTTCGGAGTCGCCGGGAATCAAGGTACTCGATTTCTTTTTTTGCCTACACGCGCCAGTTCACACCTGTGTCGAGCCTGTGTGCTGTGAGAGAGAGTTGTTTTGTTTAAATTCTTTTTTTGTACCTGTACCTGTTCCTGTTAGTGCCAGTGCGCGCCAGTCCCGTGCCCAGTGTCGTGCGAGGGAGTTTTGTTGTAAAAATCTTTTCTGGAGTGTGAAGGCTTCGTAGGTTGGGTGGACGTAGCCCTCCCGCCTTCTACTCTATGATAGACCGGATTCTGGGCCGGCGCGGGGGATGGGGTCCCATGGCCCGCCGCAGGCGCCGATTTTACAAACAAAACAAACCGATTTTTTTCGGATTTTTTTGGCGATTTTTTACTTGTTTTCATGGGAAATTCGGCGTACTTGCGGCCATGCTATCACGCACGCCTTGCGACAGCCTGTCGGCGCAGCTGACCGTGCCATGATGCACAATTGATGACAATTGATCACCTGCATAGCTCGCGGCCTTAGTATCAAGCATTCAGTGACGACCTGATCGTACGGCCAGTAGGAAGGTGTCCTTCCATCGTGTGCACGCTTCTGGCGCAATGCGCGTCACAAACTGCCTCGGATTGGCTGCTGGCACTCTCGAGGCTATGCCTACACAGCCTCGCGCGCATGGCCATGGGCAGTCAAGAGGGACCACGCACTTCTCAGGACAGCGCCGGTGCCTCGCTCTTGGACCGGCAAACTTGGTGGTATCGTGTCACCAATGTGGGACCAGTGCGGCATCGCGCCATCGACAGCTCTGAACTGCGCCCCACCACTGACTGGGAAGGCCGCCAAGTGGGCCAGCACAGGTCGCACATTGTGGCAGCAGTCAGCAGTGCATGGCTGATAGCTAGAGCAGCAGCGTCAGGGTCTCGCAGGGTCGGATCGTGTCAAGCCTCTCGCCCGGCCGGCCGCGTGCAGACGTCGGCCTGTCTGCTGTCTGGAGTGATCTGTCGGCGGTCAGTACGACCGATCAGGTCGGAGTTTTCTGTGATGGTTGGAGGGTCTATCTGTATGTACTCCTCGAGATCTCTCCAAATCTGCCCTCTGATTAACCTAGCTTAATCGGGAAGTCGGTGCTAATAGAGACTAATAGAGCCGGGGCCCCGTTTCCGCACTGCGCTCTGCGGCGCGGCGCACGGTGGTCGGTGCCTCCGGGGGGCCCCGCGCCGGCCCAGAGCACCTGACATCATCGTTCATACTATATCTTCATACAACACCAAATTCATATGTGGCGCGCGCCGGGTGCGCGGCATGGCGGTGTGGTGCGTGTGTAAAAAACATTCGCTTCACATGTGAGAGAGGGCAGAGGCGCTGCGGTGCATGAGCATGCACTGTCCCTGGCTACGACCTACATCTCCCAACCCACCCATGCACGTAACAAAAACAGAGACAAGTGTCGGGGTTGCGGCCAGTACCCTCCTCAGCCGGCGCTCGTGCGAGAGAAGCCCTCTCACTCTCCGAGCCCAGCGTCATGACCGGGCACATCTTCCGTCGGTTCCTCTTCCGTCGGTAGCACACCCTGCAGCTTGGCCGCCGCGGCTGTGAGTGTGGCGTCCCATCAAAGCTTGTGCGGCTCGTAGCCCTCACTCGCGTAGCTGCTGAGGTAGGCGCCGAGCACGAGCGCAACTGTCCACAGAGCCGCGCCCAGCTCGGACTCGTCGCCGACCACCGCCATGCGCGGCCCTCGGCTGCCCGCTCGGGCCTCCCGAGGGGCGTGCCGCTCACGAAACGTGCCGCTCGACGCCTCGCCCTCCCTCGGAAAGTGCAGCGGGCGGGCCAGCCCGTGGCGGCGCACATATTCGTCATGCACCAATGCAGCCTCCTCCTCGGTCGCATGCGAGCCGAGCGAGATCTTTTTGCTGCCGACGCTGAACTGAACTCTCCACTTGCGCGAGTCCTTGCGCCAACGCACGCCCGGAAACCGGGTGTACTTGCCTGCAGAGAGTGCTGCGGCCACTCCAGCGTTCATGCCGTAACCCACCTGCGCCTCCTCCAGTGTTGCCGCCTCGCCGCTGTCGACGAGCTTCTGCAGCGCTGCTGCGCGTCCGCGCTGGCCAGCTAGCTTCGATGCCTCCTCCAGCGTCGCCGCGTCACCGCTGTCGACGAGCTTTTGCAGTGCTGCCGCACGGCCTCTCTGAGAGTGCAACACTTGTGCCTCCTCCAACGTCGCCGCATCGCCGCGCTCCACCATGCCCTGGAGCGCAGCCTGATGACCGCTCCGCGAGAGAACCTGCTGCGCCTCCTCCAATGTCGCCGCCTCGCCGCTGTCGACGAGCTTCTGCAGCGAAGCTGCGAGTGCACGCTGGCCAGCTAGCTTCGATGCCTCCTCCAACGTCGCCGCATCGCCGCGCTCCACCATGCCCTGGAGCGCAGCCTGATGACCGCGTCGCGAGAGAACCTGCTGCGCCTCCTCCAATGTCGCCGCCTCGCCGCTGTCGACGAGCTTCTGCAGCGAAGCTGCGAGTGCACGCTGGCCAGCTAGCTTCGATGCCTCCTCCAGCGTCGCCACCTCGCCGCTGTCCACGAGCTTCTGCAGCGCTGCTGCGCGTCCGCGCTGGCCAGTCAGCTTCGATGCCTCCTCCAGCGTCGCCGCTTCACCGCTGTCCACGAGCTTCTGCAGCGAAGCTGCGCGTGCGCGCTGGCCGGCGAGCTTCGATGCCTCGTCCAGTGTCGCCGCCTCCCCGCTATCCACGAGCTTCTGCAGCGACGCTGCGTGCCCTCTTTGCGAGAGCACCGTCTGCGCTTCGTCGAGTGTCGCCGCCTCACCGCGCTCGACGATGTTCTGAAGCGCCGCCGCCAAGCCGAGCTGGCCGTCGGCGCGAGGGTCTCGACGCTGCTGCAGCGTCACCACAGACCGGCGAGGAGCCGCGAATAGCAGCGCGGCACCGAGAGCCAGCTTCGGTGTGTCGCGCCCGCAAAGAGAATGGCGGTTGGGCAGCAGGGATTGCAAGCTCCACGGGATACCGCGTTCGGGACCATTGGTGTCCAGTCCGAGCCTGGCTGTTCTTCACCTTTCTACCTACCTACCTACCACTACCACCTCACACTTCTCCCCTAAAATCCCACCACTTCTTCTCTTCCACCTGGTGGTGCGATGGGCTCCCCTCCCGTGTCAGCCCTCTGTAGCATCAGGTGCAAAGGAAAGAGTGCTGCTAAAATCCCTGTGTGCGCGGCGCTTTTTATTTCTTTTTTTTGCAAGATCATTCGTGTGGGTGAACCCTTTCCAGCCCCCCTCCGTGTCGCGATGCGCTCCCCACTCCCGTTCCCCTGTGTCCCTGATCGTCCTTCCAAGATCCTGCTCGTGCAGGTGGGGACCTTGTCCTCCTCCCACCCCTCGTTTGGTTTGCAGGTTTTCTTTCTTTCTTTTTGCAGCTCCACGGCGATAAAATAAGAGCGCCCCAGCCGCCAGCCCTGGAAGTACTTCCAGTATCTCTTTCTTTGGCTCACGCCAGGGCGCTCGTTGCTCCTCCATCATTTGTATTCTTCCATACTGCGATTTTCAGAAGACTTCCAGCTGCCCTGTGGGAACAGTGCTTCTCGCACGAGGTACCCGCCGCGGAAACGCCCGTCCACCCGCTCACGCGCCTGTCCCACATACAAATGAAGGCGGTCGCGGTCGTGGTCGGCGGTGCCTGCGCAGCCTACCTCCTCTACCGCCGGAGCCTGCTCGCCTACGTGCACGGCGACGAGCGAGCCGAGGGCCACGATGAGGCTTACGCCGCCAAACCAGTCATTATCTTTTGCTCTCGCACGGTAAAGTCGGCAGATGCATCCAAGTACACGGAGACGTTTGCCAAATTCGCTGCCGAGGCGCAGGGAGGAGACTACGGCGTGCGTGCCTGCTTCTCCTTCATCGACAGGGACAAGCCCGACACGGTCGTTCAATTCCTCTGGTTTGACACCACGGAGGGCTTCATCAAGCTGATGAAGGAGAGCAAGCCTTGGTGAGACTCTGCCCCGCCCCCATGGCCGCTCAGGAGTAAACATCCTCAACAGCAGCAATCTCACCAGAGCACGCTGCCGGTAAATAGGTGTGATCTCACAGACTACTATTCTGGTAGCGCAGAGACGGACATCCAGCAGTTTTGGACCGGGAGCGTCACCGATGAGCTCAAAGCGGCGGCAGCCAAGGTGCCCAACGTCAAAACAGGTGCGCACTTTGGGCCGCGCGCTGACTCCTCTGCACCGACGCCAGCACCCCTCCGCTAGGCTTTGGGTCGAGCATCCGCGGCTTCATCCGACCTCCTTCCAGCCCGGGCTTCAAGGCCGGGGCGCCCGTCATCTGGGTCTCGAAGCGAAAAATAAAGGATGGCAAGATGGCAGATAACATCAAGTACTGGGGCATTCTGTCCGAGATGCAGTACGTCAACGCGCCGGGGTGTGTCGCCACCATCGAAGTCACCGCCGACGACGCCCCCGACTACCTCTGGTCCTGCCGCATATTCACTGACTTTGACACTGGCTTTGCGAGTCGACCATCACAGCCGTCGCACTCGCACGCCCACGCCACTGAGCCGCCCCCCGCTGCCTGTGAGTAGGTTGCGCATTTTCCAATGACGTCGCCGTCCGTCCTGTACCACGGCCTCCGATACGTCCTCCCTACCTTCGATAGCGAGCCGTGGCCGTACTCGTACAGCTTCTCCACCCCAGAGTGGATGGAGAAGATTGTCAGGTACAACGACGGCAACAAGGCCTTCAACCAGTATCACTGGGCCAAGGGCCTGATCGGGCCAATGCCGGACTTTGCGAAGTAGGGGCGAGTGCCGCAATGTCTCGGGACCCTTTCGCCCTTGTAGGAATACACTCAGGTGTTCCCACCTCGCACGTCGGATGACGAACCTCAATTGTTTCCTATCCTTGCCTGTGGGGCTTTGTTTCTTTTTTCACGCCTGCGATGAGAGAGATTTCTGTCAAAAATCTCTCAACCGGGAGCCCTCGGGCCTCGCGGGAGTCGCTTTGAAACCCAACAAGAAATCTCGTAGCGTACCTGTGTTAGTGCCAGTGCGCAGAAAGAAAGAAAGAAAATTGTGCCAGTCCGCAGCTCGAATTCTTCTTCGCAGTGCATCTGCTTGCCGCGTCGCGTACTCTCTGTCCGACCTCTCTGTCCGACTCGCGGCTGTCTCGCTGTCGCGACATGCTCAAGAGAAGCATACCCGCCCGCCTTCGCGTCGCGGGCAGCAGGTCACTAGCAGCTAGGGCGCGTCCGTCGCCGCTCCTGTCTGCTGCGCTGCTGCCGCGCGGCGGCTCGTCGCGCTTGCTCGGTGCGCGGACGCTCCACGCGACTGCAGTGTCGCGGGCGCAAGACTATTATGACGTGCTCGGTCTGCCCAAGACGGCGAGCACGGGCGAGATCAAGCGAAAGTACTACGAGAAGGCAAAGCAGTACCACCCGGACACCAACAAGAACGACCCGGAGGCGGCCAAGAAGTTTGCAGCCGCGACAGAGGCCTACGAGGTCCAGAGCCCGCCCCCGGGGAAGCTGCGGCACGGCCGGTGCCCGCTGTGGCGACGGCCGCCAACGCGCTCGCGCCGCCCCTCGCCGTAGGTGCTGAGCGACGGCGAGAAGCGCAAGGCCTACGACACGTATGGCCACGCCGGACTCGGCGGCGGCGGCGGCGGCGGCGGCCCTGGGCAGGGGTTTGGCCAGGGCTTCCACCCTGGCGGCGGCGGCTTCCAGTGGCGGTCGGACAACCCGAACGTCGACCTCAACGACATCTTCGAGCAGCTCTTCGGCGGCCAGGGCCGGCGGCAGCGCGGGCCGCGCCGCGGGAGAGACGTGCAGACGCAGATTGTGCTCGACCTCGAGGAGGTTTCCGAGACACTTCCGAGACACTTCCGAGAGAGTTCCGAGAGATTGCGCCGCGAGAGAGACGTGGCGAGAGATGTGCCACGCTGTGTGCCACCCGCTGCTCCCACATCCCCACACGCTCTGTCAAGCCAAGTCACCAGCCACGTCGCCAGCCACACCTTACCACCACACCGCCACACCACCACCACGGCCACCACCGCCACACCGCCACACCGCCACCACACGACACCGTCCACACGACACGCGCGCCCGCAGGTCGCGGTGGGAGTCGAGAAGTCGGTCTCGTGGCGGACGGCAGAGGGGACGGAGACGGCAGAGGTGCGGCTCTCCCGATGCGGGAGATGCGCCCCCGTACTCGAACGGGCACTCGAGGGGGCACGTGCTCGGCTGCGTTCAGTCTCTGCTGCAGCCGCATGCGCTGTATGATACAGCCCTCGCCTCCACGCGACGCTCTCACGCGACGCTCTTGAGTATTGACCGCCCTCCACACTCCCGGTATGCACATGCACTGGGTGCCGTCCTGCCCACGTCCGAGCCACGTCCGAGCCACGTCCCGCAGGTGCCTATCCCCGCGGGCGTGGACACGGGGATGAACCTCTGCGTGCGAGGCAAGGGGGAGGCGGGCGCCGCCGGGCCGGGAGACTTGTACATCGAGGTGCGAGAGGAGGCTGTCACGAGCTCGGCCGCCCCTCGGCTGCACCTCGGCCGCACTTCGGCCGCACTTCGGCCGCACTTCGGCCGCACTTCGGCCGCACTTCGGCCGCACTTCGGCCGCACTTCGGCCGCACTTCGGCCGCACTTCGGCCGCACCTCGGCCGCACTTCGGCCGCACCTCCGGTGCACCTCGGCCGCACCTCGGCTACACCTCGGCTGCACCTCGGGGTGTCTAGGTGCGGGTGAGGGACCACGAGCTCTTCGTGCGGGATGGGTTCGACATCCACGTCATGGCGCGGGATGCCCCCCCGCACAGCCACCCGCACCACTCACACTCACTCACCCCACTCACCCCTCCGACGTTCCTACGGCCCTAGACACCAGCCCCCAAGAACTGCCTCTGACACTGCCTCTCACCCACGCGCGGCTCCGCCCTTGACGCAGGTGCGCCTCACGCTGGCCGAGGCGGTGCTGGGCGGGCGGGTGGTCGTCCCGACGCTTGAGGGGCAGGCGGCCCCGCAGCTGCCGCCCGGCGCTGTCCATCCCCTCTCCAGGACGCGCCCATGACATTCCACGGAGCACGGTCTGCAGGCGGCCCTCAAGCTGCCGCCCGGTACGCAGCCGGGCGACCGGCGCGTGATGGAGGGGCGCGGCGTGCGGGCGAACTCTGGGCGCGGCCACCAGTGCGTGTCCGCTTCAGCGTCGACGTGTGCCGTCTGCGGGACCGCGCCTCTTGACGCGCCTGGCTGTGCGAACAGGTATGTCCACTTCAACGTCGACGTGCCAGTCAAGCCGACGGAGCGGCAAAAGGAGCTCATCCGTGAGTTCGGCGAGGAGCAGGTCATCAGCGACGACGACCGTGCCGACCGAAGGGATCGCGACGCCGGCCGCCGCGGCGGGCGACGTGGCTGGTCGTTTGGGTAGCGGCCGCGGCGGCTCGCGGTCCACGGGGGGAGGAGGGCAGCGCGGCGGGCGGCGAGCAGCGCGCGCGCTCCGGGAGGAAGTCGCGCTGCGCGGCCCGCCTTCAGTCTATGGCGGGCTATATTGTATTTGGGACTGTGTCGCGCCGCGGACCGCGCCGCGCGCGACGGCAGAGCAGCTCTCAGCAGCGAGAATAGGTGTGTGCGCGCCTAAGCAACACTCTCTCACACAGAACTCAGAAGATGGAGTTCTCAGTACACAGTAGTTGATTTCCTAGTTGTGGGGGTGTCGATGGGTGAATGTCAATCCGCGCAACACTGTAAGAGATCAGAGAGCCACACGACCGCACGCAAACCCCGCGCCCTCCGCGACGCGCGACGGCCCGCGCGCCCCGGGCCCCGGTCCGCCGCCGCCGGTGTGCGGTGAAAACCCCGCCCATGCACCGTGAAAACTGAAGCAAGTTCTGAGCCACGAGGCTTAACGGGTCTAAGCGGTGTGACGCGTCACGCTGGGGTGCTTACGCGGTCTACGATCGGCGGGTCTTATGCGGGCTAAGTCTCTCGGATCACGAGGCGTTAACGAAATTTTCCTCGCGTCTGTGCCTCTTGCGCGCCGGGCATATACGCAGCTTGCAGGCGGAAGCCGTTGCACAAGTGGCGTGCGTCGCAACTTTTGCGCACGGGGGCTGAGAGGAGGGTCGCGCACGCCACTTGTGGCTAGCTGGCTGGTCGCGCCACTTGTGCAACGCCACAAGTGTGGCTGGCTGGTCGCGCACGATGCATAGCGCCGCTTGGAAGGGAGGACCCTTGAACGCAAAGTGGTACTCGAAACAGCAGAAATTCATCGGGCCCATTGAGATGGTGGCGCTCACACAGGAGGAGTTCTTCGGCGCAGATATTGAGGCGTCAAGCGAGGAGACGATTGCGACAGTCACAGCACGTTGTGCGTTTGCCCTCGCCGATCGCGAAGACAACGCGACCTATGCGGACTTTGCCGTGGAGGATGCAAGCTGCGCAAAGTTTGAGATTCCCGCCCTTGAGTGCGCTTCGTGGGATAGCGCGGCGCCCGTTGCGGATGGGGAAGGCCCTCCGCGATATATGAAAGTACCAAACCCATTCAACGAACACCCCACGCTGTGGCCAGGGGCTTTCGACGTTCGATGGATTTATGACACCACCTGCACCCCGGCAGTAAAGAACGCTATGTGTGCAGTCCGGATGAAGCCCTTTAGCAAGTGCTGTGAGGTTGGCCTAACCAAGGAAGGAGAACTGCCAGGCGGGCTTCCCGAAAAAAATCGCCGACGCGGTGGCTGGCGTCAAGAACGCCACAATAATGACGTTTGGCTCATGCGCGAATGTGACATCAGACGACGGGCCCCTTCACATGAAAAACTGCCAGGCGTGGGGAGAAAGCTGGGATCACAAATTTTGGGGTCAATGTAACTGGCCGTCAGTCGGGACGGGCTGCCCCAAGATCGACTTCAAGCCCCCCTCTGCCTCCCTTTCCCCCTCTGCAGCCGGCCTCGCCTCCCCCGCCTCGGCGCCCGCCGTGCGAAGAGGACATTGTGACTGGTGTCGTCGGCTTGTTCCTTCCAAACTGGAAGAAATGCGAGGACGCTCCAAGTCGCCCCTTACTTAATGGCTGGGTGAGCGCTTGCCTCGCCATGCCACACGGACAGAGGTTGGGGTACAGAGGCTGGAGAGCGGCGAGCACACCGCCAGCTGGCTCGGGCAGAGCTCCGCCGATTAGAGCGCCGGTGTTGCTTTGCGTTCTCAATCGAGAGGGGGGCGGAGGGGATGGTGGTCTTGTGGCGCTGGCGGTCTGTGGACAGCTGGCGGTCTGTGTAGAGAATAGTAGCCGGACGAAGCGCAACACGGCCGGGTCCGAGAGGCGGCCGCCTCCGCCCCCGCTCCAGCGCGAGGGGGCGAGCTCGAACCTCGTAGATCACTAGGCGACGCTAGGCTTAAAACGTTAAAAGAGAAAAGGTGTGCTCCCCCCCGACCCCCCCCCCCTCTTTCGTTTTTGGGGGTGTGCCTGCGGCTTTTCAACGGCCAAATCTTGAAAAAATCCGGAGCTCGGACTCCCTAAGAGCGTCCAGGCAAACCCGCAAAGGGCAAAACGGCAAGAGAGGCACGTGTAGAGCTGGGCCAGAACGCGCATTCGACACTCGTCGCACTCGACACTCTCCGCTCGAGCTCGGACCGTCTGCCCGGGAGGCACAACACGCACGACAAACGCGTATGGGTAACAAGAGTACAGCAGCGCGAGCCGTCGTCGCCACGCCTGGTCACTCGCCGCGCGAGTTAGCCTCTTCGAGCATCCCGGGGACGCACTCCACGAGCGCCCGGAGAGTGTGTTCGTCAATCTGCGCGGAGATGCGGCCCTGCAGTTCGGCGGCGATGCTCGCCAGAGCGGCGCCGATCCGGTTGCGATCCATGTACTCTGCGACCGACTTGTCGAGCAACACACCCTTTGATAGCTTTGGCGGCGCGGCCTCCCCGCTGGCGGCCTTTCCGTGGGTGCGGAGGTGCAATGCCATGCTCTTCAGCGGTGCGGCGGGACGGCGGGCGAGGACATCGTTGAGGGCCTCTGTCAGCCGTGCGCTGAGCTCCTCGTTGCAACGAGCGATGAGTTCTCCTGCAGACGCCTTTGGCGTTTCTGCACGACGCAGGGCTGCCGCTGCCGCCCATGCGATGTGCGCCCCTGTCGGCACGTTTGCCTCCTTTGTGGGCGCGGCCGTGGCTATGCCATGGGCCGCTGAAGCTGCTGCCCATGCGATGTTCATCCCGGTCGGCACGCCTGTCTCCTTCGGATGCGCGACCGTGGCCGTATCCTGGGCCTCTGTCGCTGACCCGTCCTCCGCCGCCTCCATGGGCTCCTTCTCCACGCTTGTCGCCTGCGCCGCCCCCGTCAGCTCTCCCTCCTGCAGTCTCGCAGCCTCGCCCGCCTCGCACGCCGTGGCTTCGGCGCTGTCCTTTGTGCTGTCTGCTGCCTCGGAGACAACCTCCCACTCCTCTCCTTCCTCCCCCGGCGGCGCCGTCACGCTGTCTGGGATGCATTTCTTCCAAACCCCCGGGATGAGCCCCCACAGCAGGCCTCCCTTTGCCGGCTTCTTGCCCTCGGTCGACTTTGCGGCGCGGCCCGGCGCCTTCTCACCTGCCGCTGGCTCAGGCGTGACGGTCCTCGTGTCGGTGCCACTCGACTGGGCTAGGCCATTCGCCGGGCGGGCGTCCGAATCCCAAAGCTTTCGGCTCGCGGCAGCCTGCTTGGCGTTGGCCATCGATCGCCGGCGTCCGGTGCGGTCCACGGAGCCGTCCGTCTCAAGGAGCTCGTCCGCGGAGCTGGCAGAGAGTGCATCGGGCTCGACCACCTTGAAGACACCGCCTGTGCTAGTGAGCTTGGCTCCTGGACCAGCAATTGTCGCATCCGACTCATGCGGACCCGTTAGGCGGGCGGAGCGATCATCATCGGCCGCATCCCACCTATCCACTCCACCCGAGACGCCGTCGAACCACTCCGTCGGCACATGTGACACCTGTCGGTCCCGCGGCATGCTCGCGCGCACGATGGATGGTCGTATGGGCCGTCGCGGTTCGCGCGTAATGGACTGCCCGCCGCAAGAAATGGACGGCCGATTCGTCGATCTGGATGTGCTTTCAGGATGAGGGTTGCCGCCGCCATGCGACCGGATTTTGCGAAATTTCTTTTTCTTTCTGCGCGAAAGAAAGAAATCAGAGGATGAAGCCTGCAGGAAGCGACAGGAGAGAGAACGTCGAGAGTGAGAAGACGCGAGGCGGCATGAAGGTCGCTGCGAGAATTGGCGAGAGACTGCAAGAGAGATAGGAATAGGAGATAGGAAGAGGCAGACGCCCAAGGGTGGGCGACGGCTAGCACCACACTCCTCTCCTTAAAATCCCTGTGTGGTGGCGGCGTGCCGTCCTCCCATCCCTCCCTTGCGCCTCGGCGATCCGTCGTTTCTTGGAGCGTGGTCGGCATCACATCCGGGGCAGGAGCTAAGAAGCGCACCCATAAGCGTGGTCTCTTCCCACAGGAGCAGCTGTGAAGCGGCTGCGGCAATAGCAGACAGCGATCACGTTGCGTCTACAATCATGGACACCGCTCCTCTGCCACCTGCGTGCTCGTACCTTGAGACAATCGGCAACACGCCAATGGTGAAGCTGGACCGCTGCGTTCCGGCCGCGTCCAAGCAGGCGACGATTCTCTGCAAGCTGGAGATGCAGAACCCCGGCGGCTCCCTCAAGGACCGGATCGCTCTCAACATGATCGAGGAGGCGGAGGCGCGTGGGGACATCACGCCGGGCAAGACCACGATCATCGACTTCACGTCTGGGAATACGGGCATCGGCTACGCGATGGTTGCCGCCGCCAAGGGCTACAAGTGCATCGTCATCATGCCCAAGGTGCGGCCGATGCTCGAGCGCTACTTGATCTGCCGCCAGTTTGGCGCGGAGGTCCACCTCTTCAATCCGTCGCTCGGCGCGCCCGGTGCGCTCAAGTACGTCAAGGACCAGCTCGCCGCGAACCCGCACTACTGGTGGCCAAACCAGCTGGGCAACCCGGACAACCCGGCGGTGCACGAGAGGACGACCGGACCGGAGATCTGGAAGCAGGCCGGCGGCGCGGTCGACTACTTCATCCACGGCATCGGCACGGGTGGCTGCGTCGCCGGGGTCGGTAAGTACCTCAAGTCGGTCAACCCAAAGTGCCGGGTGACCGCACACGCGCACACACGCACGCACCGCTCAACCACACCGCTCTCTGGACTTTCAATGTCCCCGTCTCTAGACGTGGCCCCTCTGCCCCACACCAGCGTGGGGAGAAGTTCACCTCCACCAGGTGATCGCGCTCGAGCCGACCGAGGCGCGCGTGCACACCGGCGCTTCGCCCAAGCCGCACGGCGTCGTCGGCTGGGCGCCCGGCGTCCACTCCCAGTTCCTCGACGGCTTCGGCAAGGCACGCGAGAGGGACAGCCAAGTCCCTACAGCGCCCCACCAGCCAGCTGAGGCTCACGCGACCTCCCCTCAGGCGCCCGAGGAGCTGTCGGACGCACCGCGCGGCGTCGTCGACGAGTGGGGGCACGTCGCGACCTCGGAGGCCGTCGCGACGTGCCTGCAGGTGACGTCGGCCGAGGGAATGATGGTTGGGCCCTCGTCGGGCGCGGCCATCAAGTACGCCTTCGACGTGGCGGCGCGCCCGGAGGCCAAGGGGTCGACCATCGTGGTCGTGCTGCCGAGTCACGGCATCCGCTACGTCGCCCACCCGCTCTGGGCCGCCGTCAACGCAGAGGCGAACGAGGCGCTGCCCCCGGGCGAGGCGCCGTGCTCGGACAAGGAGCAGCCCATCCTGCTCTGGGCCTCGGAGGAGTACAAGAAGGCGTGAGCTGCCTTCGCCCGCATCGCCCGCGCGCGCGACAGGCTGAGAGAGTGTACTACTACGTGGGTCGAGTAGAGGTGGCAGTACTACCGTGATGCGTGGAGGCTCGAGCTGGGATGTTAATGTAATCGATACTTGTTACTTCCATCTTCCTCCAGCTCTCCTTAAAATCCCGTCGCCGTGTGGTGGCGGCGTGCCGTCCTCCCCTCAAAGCTCAATGGTTGCTGGAGAGGAGTGACGAGTGTGGTGCTAGCCGTCCGCCCACCCTTGAAGGCGTCTGCAGCCTCTTCCCATCTCTTCGCAGTCTCTCGCCAATTCTCAAAAACAAAAAAAACTCTGTCTCCAATTCTCCCGTGTGCTGAAAAGAAAGAATTTTACAACAAAAGCTGGTCGCACAACAGTCAACACGAAAAGAAAGAAACAACAAACACACAACCCAAGGGAGGGATGGGAGGACGGCACGCCGCCACCACACAGGGATTTTAAGCTGTGTGAGTGTCGTCGCGACTTGGAGCACTTGGAGTGCAGTCGGCAACCTCACATCCAGGGCCGGAGAGCTAACAAGATTTCCTTTTTTTTTTAAGGTGCCCGCCGGTCGCTCTCCCGCCTGCCTCCTCTGCGCCACTTCCCTCACCGTATGGCGAGAACGGCTCCAACTCGGCTCGCGTCGGAGGCGTACACGGCGCCGTCCGCTGCCGCCGGCTCCGCCGCCGCCGCCCCTCCCGAGCGCTCCCTGTCCGTGCTGCGGCTCATGACGTGGGCCACGATCTCGCTCTCGGCCGTCTGCTTCTCCTCTGCAGTCATCCAGTCGCAGCTCCTGCACAAGGGTGGGCTGCGAGGCCGCTTCGACTCTCGCGGCGCGTATGAGGTCGCTGGTAGCTACAGCGAGGAGCCTGACGACGGCGCTGCTCTTCTCGCCGACCCAGGCCCCGACAGGTCAGCGCCGGCCGACAGCTCCGCGTCGTCGCCGCTGCCCTCTGACGCCTCTGACAGCGACGCCTCCGCCCCGAGCCCGCCGCCGAGCGACGGCTTCGGGCAGCAGTCGCAGGTCGAGTTTCTGCGCAACGTCAAGCGGCGGCTCAAGATCGAGACGCCGATCGACGAGACCTTTTGGCGGCGCGCGTCAGCCGCCACTCCAGCGACGACTCACACACACCGCACGGCGCCGCGCCTCCGGCTCCGCTCCAGCCGCGCCTCTACACGCCCACCCCGACTCACACCGCCGCACCCCACCTCCACGCCGCCGTGTCCAGTGACGCGTCCGCGACGCGTCCACAGGCCGTACGCGCGAGCGTCGGCCGAGGGCGGCGGGGGCAGCGCACCGGGCGTGGCGCCGACGAACCTGATCTTCGTGGCGGGGGCCGAGGGGACGGGGCACCACTTCCTGACCGCGGTGATGATGCGCCTCTCCGAGCTGATGCCGATGACGCTCGTGCAGGAGCAGATGTTCCAGGCGCCGCCGATGCCGCGGGCGGCACGGCACACGGCTCGGAGGGTTCTCGGAAGTGTCTCGGAAGTGTCTCGGAGTCTGAACCGCAGGCGCTGTGGTGGCAGCCGAAGGACCGCACCCCCGCAACCTTCTGGGCCGCCGTCGAGGTCCCACAGCCTCTCGCGGGCTGGACACTTCCACGACATGTCCCGGACGGCGCGGGGACGCGTGTCTGCAGGCGTTCCACGAGTGGGTGCAGGCGGCTCGTTCGCTCGGCAAGCACCCCGCCTTCTGCGCGCGGACCTGCCTTCGGCTGTCGGGCATGAAGCACTGCTCGTGGATCTCGGGCATGCAGGAGCAGCGCGAGGGCAGGCTGCTCGACGGCAGATGTAGCCGAGATGCAGCCGAGATTGGCACCGCTAGCCGAGATCTCGGCGAGATCTCGCCAGGATGCCTCCAGCCCCTCGGCGGGGGAGCCTGGTCCGACGGACCCCGCCACGCACTCCCCGCGCCTGGAGCGGCTGTGGGGAGAGGCGACCTCTTCACACCGCAGCAGCACACCCCCGGGGGCCCAGATCGCACGCCACGGACAGTCGAGAGAACGGGCAGACTGGCAGAGAGCGGCTAGCCAGACAGGCAACGCGCCGAGTCCCACGCGAGGGTCGACACCCCCCCTCTCAGCGCGAGCCCTAGGCTCCTCACGCAAGCACACAGCCAAAGACACAGCCCCGGGGCCAAAGACACACAGGCACGAGCAGTCGAGACAAGGGAGAGACAGCGACGGCAGTCAGAAGGAAGCACTGGGCCCCCAGGAAGGCGAATGCGAGGACGGCCTCTAGCGTTGGCTCCTCACGCCTCGCCCCATGCCTCCCCACATCTCTCCATACCTCCCCATCCCTCCCCACACCTCCCCACATCTCCCCATATCTCCCCATATCTCCCCATATCTCCCCATATCTCCCCATACCTCCCCACATCTCCCCACATCTCCCCATATCTCCCCATGTCTGAGCTCGAGCCCTAGGCTCCTCACGCCTCGCCTCCCTGTGGCGCAGGCAATCTCCCCATATCTCCCCAGATCTCCCCATATCTTCCTCACGCCTCGCCGCCCTTGTGGCGCAGGCAAGAACCGCAACATCTCGTACCAGCCGATCGGCCAGATGTTCTCGTACCCCTTCTCGCGCTCCGGCAACGAGATCTGGGGAGATCTGGGGAGATCTGGGGAGATGTTCTCGTACCCCTTCTCGCTCCGGCAACGAGATCTGGGGAGATCTGGGGAGATCTGGGGAGATCTGGTGGGGAGGTGTTCTCGTACCCCTTCTCGCAACTAGGCAACGAGACGGAGGATGGGACACACTATATTATATTATATTATAGTAATATTATATTATATTATATTATATTAATTAGGCAACGAGACGGAGGATGGGACGCACTACCCGCGCCTCGCCGACCTGCAGTACCTCTGCGAGCTCGCCGGCGTTCGGCTCAAGGTCGTGGCGCTCTGGCGCGAGCCGGTCGACGCAATCATGTCGATGAACAACCGCGGGCTGCCCAAGATTTGGCGGCGGGCGGGGAGGACCTTTAAGCTGCACAAGCAGGCGGGTCCTTCTCTCTCCTTGCGCCGCGGCGAGATCGTCCGAGATCGTCCGAGGTCGTCTGAGATCACCCAAGATAGTGCGGAGATCAGCCGAGATTGCGCGAGATTGCGCGGGATCGCGCGAGATTGCGCGAGATTGCGCGGGATTGCGCGGGATTGCCTCCCGCGTAGGTCGAGCTCTTCCTCTCGCAGCTCGACGAGATGCACTCGCAGCTCGCCGCCCTCCCGCCCGACTCGTTCCGCGTCGTCAACTACACGCACATGCTCGGCAAAGCAAAGGAGTACGTGCGGGACCTTGCGGCCTTTGGGGGGGAGCCCCCCCCCCCCCCCCCCCACGAGGCGCACGTGCGGCGGGAGCCTCTC